CTCACAAACAGAAATAAAAGTGGCTAATTAAAAGTGGCATATTCTTCCATCAGCTGGGATTCCTGGAGGAAAATAGTAGTATTTGTATCAGAGAAACATTATACAGTTGCATGTCTGGACTGGAGGATCTCAGGCATTGAAAATGCTAACTCTGACCCCACAGGATCAGAAGATTCTGCCTCTTCCTGTACCATGTGCTGGACAGAAGCATGAACAGGCCTTAATTCTGAAGTTGTTCTTTCAGTAAAAATGACTTGAAAGAGTCTCGTTGAAACCAACAAAGAAACTGTAAATACATTTCTGTATCAATGTGGCTGTGGCTCTAACGCTCCAAGGTAGTGTGAGGTTGATGGAGGCCTCCTGAGTATCAAACCAATCTTCTCCAGGTTGCTTGAATCTAGGCTTAAAATAGGTGAAAAACTCTTGTTACATTTAGAAAAGGCAAATTTACCTTTTTTTCTTTGGTAATAAAAGTTATGTGTCCTTTGAGGTGGGCTAGACTCCTGATGACTTCATGGACATGGATGTGTAACTTTCTTTACAGGCATACAAAGGTGATTTGCTTCTGTTCTTTCCTGGGGTGTTTTTGACTTCCTGTTTAACCTAAAGTCTTGGGATTTTCTAGTAGCCTTTCATAAAAGCACTAACCAGGCTTGACAAGGTCAGCTAAGTGCTGCCATCTCCTGAAGCTTTTCTGCAATAACTACCTTACACCCCAGAACTGTAATTATACATAGTTTCTGGAACCCTTTTTGTTAAGTTAGATGAATTTCAATAGTCTGAAAAGTAAATAGCATTTTAAGTGACCTTAACATAAATGTTCTCTATAGATCAAGGGAGACGTTATTAAACCAGCGACTCACATTTAAATTTTTAGCATTAAACATTTCTTTGTAAACCATTTCTAGACTGACTTAATATTTTCAGCTGCAAATTTCTGTATTACATAGTCATTAACTCATTTCTGTTCTTCTTTGCTCCATATATTTTACTTCTCACTATTTCTGTAGGCAGGAGATCCTTTTATATTTGACCTGCTTCTTGAAATACACGGCCAATATTATCAACTAAGAATGATCCAAATTTTGATTAATCTATTCTGGAACTAACTGATCAAGAGAAAATGTCCTTTATTTAAAAACAGTGGTTTTCTGTTTCTATTTTTGGCGGATGAAAGCGGAGGTTGAGGCTTATTAGTCCGAAGCTTGAGTGGGCTTGTTAAAGTGGCAAGAAGCCATGCCTCAAACCACATAAATATGAGAAGGGTTTGAGATCCCTGAAACTTTGTTTTGAGCTTATTGTTGCATATTGTTTGGGGCTTCTCCAGTTTACAAATAGTCTATGAAGAACTTTACACATTATCTGCAGTCTCTGGTGTGATCTAACTCTGATTCAGCAAAATTTTGGTAGCATGTCAAATAGCATACCAAATAGCATATCAATTGCAACAAAAGAGAAAAGATCATTTTGATGCTTGTAAATGAAAATTTCTGAATAAAGAGTCCTGGTCTCAAATCAGTAACTATCTATTGCTACTCCAATACAGATATAGTTATATAGATGTTGAAGGTATTGGATATTCTTAATTATTCATATGTTAAATATCATTTAATAGGTTTATATCCACTTTTTCTGTATAGGTCAAATACATCGTGCTCCCTCCTCATATTTCTTCATAACAACAGCCCCAACATGACAGTTTTAAGCAGTGCTTTTTTTGTAAAAAAAAAAAAAAAAGTGCCGGAACTCATACACGTTATACAATCCGCCTTGCCTACCCTACAAGGTTCCATCCAAAAAAGGTGCTGGAACTCCGTTCTGGGCGTTCTATGATAAAAAAAGCCCTGGTTTTAAGTATGAAGTTGTTCCGTGGTAATTATTAAATCATGTTTTACACTAATGAAATTGAGCTTTGAGATTGTGGTTTGGACTGAAAAATATTCTTGGTGTAGAGTATCCATCGTTTGCCCTGTTTTTCAGATCTGTCAAATAGCTTCCGTAGACTATAGATTCAGGATGGCAGTCCATGTTTGTTATAAGTCTTCCGTATGCCATTTGTCAAACTGGCTGTCTAAAGTTGCCATTGCATTTTATTTTATCAATATTATATGGGAGGAACTAGTTTGGGGACCGAAGCTAACAAAGGGCCCCAGACCAGAGTGGTCAATTACAATAACAATGCACTGATATTGACCACTTCTCCAAATGAGAGAGATTCTTGGCCCACTGTTATATTAGGACATGCATCATAGAGTTTGCAATACGTGTCTCTTGTCATTATTAATGGTTTTTCTGATATCTGCAATGTAAGTATCTTATAAGAGCTCTTCATTGAATGTCTGATTGCAAGCCTTCTAGTTCAAGTATTGGTCTGAGGAAGGTCCTTTAGATGTTGCTGAACATCCACTAAACTAGCAATATCCATCTCTGGTCCATATATGAGGTCTTTGTGAATATTTTACTTTTACAGGTTCATAATTCACTCAGTTTAGCAGGATACTTTTAAAGAAAAATACAGTTAATCTCTAAATGAAGTATCCTGAAATATTTGTTTAACGAAGGTAATGAAAAATGACAGCATGTGGCTCATGTATAGTGTTGTAGAACAAACTTGTCAATGAACCAACCATGTTTCCCTATAATTGATGATAATTTCAGATCCAGATTATTACTGTTTCTCAGGTGGACCAGAAGTATTTTCTAATTTCTGTTGAAGCTTCACTATTATCATCATTCCTTCCATAAAAAACTGATACCGAGGTTCAGAATATTTTTGGAAACAATGTGTTATATGATAAAACCAGCTGTTAGTTGGAGAGAGGTTAGTTAATTAAGTGACTTCAAATTTGATTCCTGACTGCAAAGGCCAATGTTTATTGTTTAGCTCAGAGGTCCCCAACCTTTTGGGTACCAGGGACCGGTTACGTGGAGAGAGTTTTTTCCACGGACCAGAGGGGGCATGGTTTTGTGTGCTGCCTGCATCCTGCAGATGGGACTTTGCTTGTTTGGGCGGACCGGTTGCAGTCCAGTACTCTTCCATGGACCAAGGGTCGGGGATCCCTGGTTTAGCTGGTCTCCGGTAATAATTTGTAGTTCTCTGAAGGGCAGACTTATAATTTTTTTGATCTTGTTCATCCATTTCATCTGTTGTTATTCTCTCTTTCTACTTCCTTGATCCTTTCTAAACATAACTGCTTTGTTCTGTCCATCATTCACTTGCATCACATTTCTAAAGTATGTTAAGTTTCTCTTTTCTGATCATTGCCTTAACAAAGCAGTTAGTCTATCTAGGCATGTCTGTTTCTATAATGGCTTCAGTATGAAGGGCATGTTAGACTGGTTTCTAGTCAAACCTGAAATTCAGTTTTGTTTAGGGTTGCATTTTACTGTTTCATCCAATTAGTTTTTCCAAGGAGTCTAAGGACAGCACTTAGGCACAATTTCGAATAAGAACTGGAAAATAAAAATGATTCTGTGCTGTCATTTAGTAAGGTAAGGATTACGTGTGTGTATCCCACAAAGAGGTTTCCTGAAATTGGAAGATGGCATTTGGTTTTGTTGTAATTGGTAGCTTAGACTTAAATAATAGTAGAATGGCCGAAACCATATCTTCCTCCTGAAATATACTTTGTGGAACTCTCTGAAGTATAAAAATTATCTGTGGTTTGATGTGGTCAGGGATTCATTTATTCATTTCTGTTTATTTTTGTTTTGGATATTGCATGTATTTGGATTTGCAAATTATAAGGTATAATTTGATACACGAGATTAAAAGCTAACATTTAGTCTCAAAAAGGCTATAATATCTACTCTAGAAAAGCATTATGTTTTCCTTCTCACAAGAAATGTTTGGTTATGAAATCTGATTTTAGAAATGTATGAATTGATTTTTTTCCAGGTATAAATAACTTAAAAGAAGTTACCGTATTTTCTGGCGTATAAGACGACTGGGCGTATAAGAAGACCCCCAACTTTTCCAGTTAAAATATAGAGTTTCAGCAAGAGAGAGGGGGGGAGAGAAAACTTGATGAGTAATATGCCAAACCACATGTGTAAAGGAATAAAATAGAATAAAAGTTTCCGGCGTATAAGACGACTGGGCGTATAAGACGACCCCTGACTTTTGAGAAGATTTTCAGGGTTTAGAAAGTCATCTTATACGCCGGAAAATACGGTATGTAGGATGCTATCTGCAATTTTAAATTATTTTAAAATCCTAGCAACTCAATATGTGGAGCTTGATTATTGGAAACTATGCAGAGATAAATATTGCTTTCTTGGCAACCATGCAGAAGTGATTTGCCACTTTTCTTTTGTAACTTTTTTTCATTTCCCCATCTACTTATTTCTTGATAGTCTGTCATATTTATATTACCCAGGTCTGACCCTGATTATCTTTTTGTTTTTACAAATGTATTCACTTAATTTTATGTGTATCTCTAATTTATTGATAGTCAAACCAATCACCATTCATGTTTATTTTCTATCGACACATTAATGCACACATTAGTTTTATGTTTGTTTAACTCGTATAACATATCAAAGGAATTATAGCTTAAAGAATATACTAAAATAGACAATTAAAATCTTAAAATTTACTTAAATAAAATAAACAGTAGTAGCTAAGGCACACCGGGCTAGAAACCAGGAGACTGTGAGTTCTAATTTTACCTCAGTCATGAAAGCCGTGGGAGGGGGAGGACTTTGGGCCATCCCTTCTCTCTCAGTCCAACATACTTTATATGGTTGTTGTTGGGAAATAGGAGGAAGAGGATGTATTAGGTATGTTTGCTGACTTGAATTATTTATAAAAATAATGAGGGATAAAAAAAAATCTTAAAAAATGCTTATGTTGGAGATTTCCGGTCATTCTCCTAGCTTATAATTCCCTGACCAATTTTTCCAATTATAAATGGTAAGTATACACATATAATATATTTGGATTCAAGTGCCCCAAATGATAACTATTGTATTGATTTTTCCCCCTTTCTTTTGAACAGGAGTTGATAAATGATCCTTTGTACATTGGTCTGAAACACAAACGAATCCGAGGCCAGGCTTATGATGATCTTCTAGATGAATTTATGGAAGCTGCAGTTTCCCGGTAATTGGTTATATTTCAGCAGTTTGTACCACTGGGTGTTTTAAGAATTTATTGAATGCTGGAAGGACAACATAACTTAGAAGCTAAGATGAATGTTTTTGCAGACTTACAAATACAGATTGTACTTGTGGCTCATTGGTTTATAATGTAGAGTTGTGTATGGATTTACTTTTTTACAACAGTAAGAAGAAGTTGGGGAACCTCTCCCAATATTAGGAAATATCTCTTTTTATCTGTTTTAAAAGTTATTTTAAATTTAAGAAAACCAGACTGGGGGAATCAGACTTTATTCTTATTTATTTTATTTATTTATTAGATTTGTTTACTGCCCATCTTGCTTTGAGATGACTCTGGGCGGCTTACAACAATAAAATGCAACTGGCTTGCATTTACAGCTAGTTGCAGCAGTAATTGTAACATTTAAAATTAATACTTTTGTCCATTGCTTGATCAAGTGAAGTGCAGTCCTGGCTTATTTTTTTTAGTGGCTTGCAGAAATATATATTCCACATAGTTCCAAGTTAAATACAAATTTCAGAACAATAGTTTTGCTTACCATTTCATTAGAATATTGTTAAAACTTATTAGTAGCATATTTATTTGGCACAGTCTTTTTCTTTGGAAAAGAAATATATTAGGAAGAAACCAGATAATTGTGACATTAATTAGAAATTATTAAAGAATATTGGGCCACACTGAAACTTTAATAGGAAAATTTAAATCTAGTATTTTTAATTTAATCAATTCTTGGCCTGTTATTAATTCTTAATTGCCAACGGGCCCATCTATAGTTGTTTATTTATAGAAATTCTTTTGCAAGTTATTCCAGTGTTTATAATCATTGCTGGAAAGAATCTATATTGTTGTCTGCTTGCAAATTTGCTAACCCATCCAGAATTGGGTGAAACGATGTCAGGCTAGGAGTTCAGGTATAAAATAAGCAGTAAGTATACAATTAAGTAGAAACCTCCACCATACCTTTTATCTATCTGCTATGCTTGGGGTTTGTTTTGGAAAGTTATAATATATGTTTTTCACCTCCAAAAAGTTTTTTTTCTCATTAAAATATTAAAAGTGTGTGATGTAGTCCCTTCATGACAAGTCTTATTTACAAAGAGAATTTAGAAACTAATCAATAAAATGATGTTTGTTCCATAGTAAGGGCAAAAGAAGTGGCAAGATTTCTAAAAATAGAGTATTTTACACTATAGCAGTTTGGGCTTGCTTAGGAATTGAGCATAGATGAGGCGTATAAAATTGGTTTTCCATTATAACAATTATAATAGGTCACATCTTTTTTTCTTGGAAAAATACATTTTGTTTCTATGAGTTATTTTAAACTTTTATGTATCCTTTAGTAGCAGAGAAAAGCCTTTATTATATGAAGATGACAAGGAACATACATGGCAATTTGTAGAATGGCTAGCAGAGCAAGAAAATGTACCAAACATATTTCCTTATACTGTATGTCTAAGATCCCCAAGCTATTCAATTTATGGTGAACATCCAAACAAATCAGATTAATCTTCTTAAAAAATAAGATTTAAATTTTCTGTGTCCAATGTGCTCTACAAATAGTTTGTGGTTTTTTCCCCCATTTTGGTGTGGTAATGAGTTAATAAAACCACAAGGTCTGAGGTATGGTGGCCCTTTTTTTAAAAAAAATATTGATTATGTAAATCAGGGATAAGCAGACTTACTTCATGCATGAATTCTTGTGTTAGAATTTAAGATCTACCTGCCAGAATCAGGATTGCAAACTGGGTTGAAAACAACATGAGGGAACAGATGCAAAAACCACAATTAAACGGTGGGTGGAGCCAATGATTTACAACCCGGAACAATACTCCATGGGATGAGCTGCCTAAACGTTAACTCAGGAATTAGTTTTAAGTACTAGAAATAATGGACAAAATTCTGTTTCCTGGAATTTGGGCGCGAGGCTCGGCATGCTTTTGCGATGTGTCCTCGCCTCAGGCAGCGGCTGCACGTGGTGTCTAGGAACCGACAGTTTGCTCGTGTGTGGTTCCCCAAACACCCTGGACACTCGAGGTCGTCCCGCTCGTCTCGCCATGCTCGCTGCTTCCGGCTGGTAAAGGTGCGATGGACGGTCTCTNGAGCCGGCCGGGGAAAGCCGCGGCCGGACGGAGAACCGCCAAGGATTGATTGACTTCCGGGAGGGGCGGGTCCCAACTGCTGGGACACTTATAACCACAGGGCGGATGGTGGCTTGCGGCTGGGGGCGGGGTAACAGGGCGCAGGGCCAATGAGGAGCCCTGCGAGGGGGCAAGTCCCATGAGAGAGAGAGAGAGAGAGGGAGAGACAGAAGTGCAAGTGCCTCTCTCTCTCTCTCTCTCTCTCTCTCTCTCTTTCATGGGACTTGCCGGAGGGCCGTGGGAGGGCCGCATTTATATAGAGCAGGGAGGGCTGCTCGAGGGCCGGATTAAACCGGGCCGCGGGCCGCAAATGGCCCGCGGGCCGGACTTTGGACATGTCTGCTATAATGGCTTCAGTATGAAGGGCATGTTAGACTGGTTTCTAGTCAAACCTGAAATTCAGTTTTGTTTAGGGTTGCATTTTACTGTTTTATCCAATTAGTTTTTCCAAGGAGTCTAAGGACAGCACTTAGGCACAATTTCGAATAAGAACTGGAAAATAAAAATGATTCTGTGCTGTCATTTAGTAAGGTAAGGATTACGTGTGTGTATCCCACAAAGAGGTTTCCTGAAATTGGAAGATGGCATTTGGTTTTGTTGTAATTGGTAGCTTAGACTTAAATAATAGTAGAATGGCCAAAACCATATCTTCCTCCTGAAATATACTTTGTGGAACTCTCTGAAGTATAAAAATTATCTGTGGTTTGATGTGGTCAGGGATTCATTTATTCATTTCTGTTTATTTTTGTTTTGGATATTGCATGTATTTGGATTTGCAAATTATAAGGTATAATTTGATACACGAGATTAAAAGCTAACATTTAGTCTCAAAAAGGCTATAATATCTACTCTAGAAAAGCATTATGTTTTCCTTCTCACAAGAAATGTTTGGTTATGAAATCTGATTTTAGAAATGTATGAATTGATTTTTTTTCAGGTATAAATAACTTAAAAGAAGTTACCGTATTTTCTGGCGTATAAGACGACTGGGCGTATAAGAAGACCCCCAACTTTTCCAGTTAAAATATAGAGTTTCAGCAAGAGAGGGGGGGGGGAGAGAAAACTTGATGAATAATATGCCAAACCACATGTGTAAAGGAATAAAATAGAATAAAATTTTCCGGCGTATAAGACGACTGGGCGTATAAGACGACCCCCGACTTTTGAGAAGATTTTCAGGGTTTAGAAAGTCGTCTTATACACCGGAAAATACGGTATGTAGGATGCTATCTGCAATTTTAAATTATTTTAAAATCCTAGCAACTCAATATGTGGAGCTTGATTATTGGAAACTATGCAGAGATAAATATTGCTTTCTTGGCAACCATGCAGAAGTGATTTGCCACTGTTTTCTTTTGTAACTTTTTTTCATTTCCCCATCTACTTATTTCTTGATAGTCTGTCATATTTATATTACCCAGGTCTGACCCTGATTATCTTTTTGTTTTTACAAATGTATTCACTTAATTTTATGTGTATCTCTAATCTATTGATAGTCAAACCAATCACCATTCATGTTTATTTTCTATCGACACATTAATGCACACATTAGTTTAATGTTTGTTTAACTCATATAACATATCAAAGGAATTATAGCTTAAAGAATATACTAAAATAGACAATTAAAATCTTAAAATTTACTTAAATAAAATAAACAGTAGTAGCTAAGGCACACCGGGCTAGAAACCAGGAGACTGTGAGTTCTAATTTTACCTCAGTCATGAAAGCTGGGGGAGGACTTTGGGCCATCCCTTCTCTCTCAGTCCAACATACTTTATATGGTTGTTGTTGGGAAATAGGAGGAAGAGGATGTATTAGGTATGTTTGCTGACTTGAATTATTTATAAAAATAATGAGGGATAAAAAAAAAATCTTAAAAAATGCTTATGTTGGAGATTTCCGGTCATTCTTCTAGCTTATAATTCCCTGACCAATTTTTCCAATTATAAATTGTAAGTATAAGCATATAATATATTTGGATTCAAGTGCCCCAAATGATAACTATTGTACTGATTTTTTCCCCCTTTCTTTTGAACAGGAGTTGATAAATGATCCTTTGTACATTGGTCTGAAACACAAACGAATCCGAGGCCAGGCTTATGATGATCTTCTAGATGAATTTATGGAAGCTGCAGTTTCCCGGTAATTGGTTATATTTCAGCAGTTTGTACCACTAGATGTTTTAAGAATTTATTGAATGCTGGAAGGACAACATAACTTAGAAGCTAAGATGAATGTTTTTGCAGACTTACAAATACAGATTGTACTTGTGGCTCATTGGTTTATAATGTTGAGTTGTGGATGGATTTACTTTTTTACAACAGTAAGAAGAAGTTGGGGAACCTCTCCCAATATTAGGAAATATCTCTTTTTATCTGTTTTAAAAGTTATTTTAAATTTAAGAAAACCAGAATGGGGGAATCAGACTTTATTCTTATTTATTTTATTTATTTATTAGATTTGTTTACTGCCCATCTTGCTTTGAGATGACTCTGGGCGGCTTACAACAATAAAATGCACCTGGCTTGCATTTACAGCTAGTTGCAGCAGTAATTGTAACATTTAAAATTAATACTTTTGTCCATTGCTTGATCAAGTGAAGTGCAGTCCTGGCTTATTTTTTTTTAGTGGCTTGCAGAAATATATATTCCACATAGTTCCAAGTTAAATACAAATTTCAGAACAATAGTTTTGCTTACCATTTCATTAGAATATTGTTAAAACTTATTAGTAGCATATTTATTTGGCACAGTCTTTTTCTTTGGAAAAGAAATATATTAGGAAGAAACCAGATAATTGTGACATTAATTAGAAATTATTAAAGAATATTGGGCCACACTGAAACTTTAATAGGAAAATTTAAATCTAGTATTTTTAATTTAATCAATTCTTGGCCTGTTATTAATTCTTAATTGCCAACGGGCCCATCTATAGTTGTTTATTTATATAAATTCTTTTGCAAGTTATTCCAGTGTTTATAATCATTGCTGGAAAGAATCTATATTGTTGTCTGCTTGCAAATTTGCTAACCCATCCAGAATTGGGTGAAACGATGTCAGGCTAGGAGTTCAGGTATAAATTTTTATACCTGATAAAAATAAGCAGTAAGTATACAATTAAGTAGAAACCTCCGTACCTTTTATCTATCTGCTATGCTTGGGGTTTGTTTTGGAAAGTTATATGTTTTTCACCTCCAAAAAGTTTTTTTTCTCATTAAAATATTAAAAGTGTGCGATGTAGTCACTTCATGACAAGTCTTATTTACAAAGAGAATTTAAAGTTTAGAAACTAATCAATAAAATGATGTTTGTTCCATAGTAAGGGCAAAAGAAGTGGCAAGATTTCTAAAAATAGAGTATTTTACACTATAGCAGTTTGGGCTTGCTTAGGAATTGAGCATAGATGAGGCGTATAAAATTGGTTTTCCATTATAACAATTATAATAGGTCACATCTTTTTTTCTTGGAAAAATACATTTTGTTTCTATGAGTTATTTTAAACTTTTATGTATCCTTTAGTAGCAGAGAAAAGCCTTTATTATATGAAGATGACAAGGAACATACATGGCAATTTGTAGAATGGCTAGCAGAGCAAGAAAATGTACCGAACATATTTCCTTATACTGTATGTCTAAGATCCCCAAGCTATTCAATTTATGGTGAACATCCAAACAAATCAGATTAATCTTCTTAAAAAATAAGATTTAAATTTTCTGTGTCCAATGTGCTCTACAAATAGTTTGTGGTTTTTTTTCCCATTTTGGTGTGGTAATGAGTTAATAAAACCACAAGGTCTGAGGTATGGTGGCCCTTTTTAAAAAAAATATTGATTATGTAAATCAGGGATAAGCAGACTTACTTCATGCATGAATTCTTTTGTTAGAATTTAAGATCTACCTGCCAGAATCAGGATTGCAAACTGGGTTGAAAAAAACATGAGGGAACAGATGCAAAAACCACAATTAAACGGTGGGTGGAGCCAATGATTTACAACCCGGAACAATACTCCATGGGATGAGCTGCCTAAATGTTAACTCAGGAATTAGTTTTAAGTACTTGAAATAATGGACAAAATTCTGAATTTTGTTTCTGCATTTCAGCATATCAATTTAACAAAGAAAAAGTCTTGTTGCTACACTTGCTAAAGAAAGAAATATTTAAAAGCTTCGCTTTGCTGATCTACAATCAGATTCCAATTGATGGTCTCTTTGTCATAGACCAGGGGTAGGCAACCTTGGCTCTTTTATGACTGTGGACTTCAACTCCCAGAATTTCTGAGCCAGCTCAGGAATTCTGGGAATTGAAGTCCACGAGTCATAAAAGAGCCAAGGTTGCCTACCCCTATCCTAGACCTAGGACAGTGGTGGCGAACCTATGGCACGGGTGCCAGAGGCGGCACTCAGAGCCCTCTCTGTGGGCACGTGCGCCATCGTCCCAGTCCTAGGCCTTCAGCTGGGTTTTATAAAACCTTTTCACTTTAGGCCTCTGCCGCCATGTGCAAAAAAAAAAAGGTTCAATCAATCAGTCAATTTCAATTTCTTGTGGGGAAAAAAAAGATCTTGCAAAGTTGGAATTGATTGATTGAACTTTTTAGTCCCACCCAGTCTGCCGTTACCACTGCAGCCACGCCCACCCAATGGGCCACACCCAGCCAATTGGCCACACCCAGCCAATGAGCCACACCCACCCGGCACCCGATGATGCATAAGTGGGTTTTGGGTTGCAGTTTGGGCACTCGGTCTCTAAAAGGTTCGCCATCACTGACCTAGGAGTTTGGACCTTGAGAGTTGGTTGCTGAAATAAAGGCTATTTTGTAGATTGGTTGAGAGACTACAGAGAGTACATGGAGTTTTATCTTTAAAAAAACTTGTTAAATTATTGTTTATTGTGCACATTATCTGAAAGTAAACATAAAGAGAATTTCAAATAACTGGGGAAAAGTATATGTCCTCCCTCCCTCCTTCCCTCCCTCCCTCCCCACCTCTCTCTCTCTCACACACACACATCCACCACTAGCTGCTAGCAACAGGTTTCCCATCTGCCTAGGAACAGGAGGAAAGACAATGCTGATCATGAAAGACCCCCATAAGAAAACAGTACCATCCAACTATCAGCCAATAATCAGCCTCCCCACAACCTGGAAAGCCCTATCAGGTATCATAGCCGCCAAGCTACAGGCCTATATGGGTCAGCGCACGAGCACAGCTCAGAAGGGCATTGAGAACAACATGAGAGGCTCAAAACACCAGTTGCTCATAGATAAAGCACTGCCCAAGACTCAAGGTCTAGATAGTACAGCAGCACAATTCAGGCAGCACAGTCTGAATTGACTACAGGAAGGCATACAGCTCAATGACACACACCTGGATCTGTGAATGCCTGGCACTATCCAAAATCAACAGGATACAAAGGACTTTCCTCAAGGAGATGCTACTGTTCTGCATAGGCCTGAACACCCTATCGACAGTGAGGACATTTGGATGTCATTTGGACTGGAGAAGTATGGCTGGATGGTAGTTAAGGGAGGGAAGGTGGTTAAGACTGATGGACTGGAACTACCTACGGGCCACAGGCAAGTACTGGCCAATCAATCAGACATCACGGTAATAGACAAGGATCAGAAGGCAGCATTGATGATAGATGTAGCAGTGCCAAGTGACAGCAACAGCAGGAAGATGTCTGAGAAGCTGGAGAAGAACTGGGGCTTGAAGGAGAATGTGGAAAGCAAAGGCCAAAATGGCCCCAGTAGGAGCCCTCGGGGTTGTGACTCCTAAGCTGGGAGAGTAGCTCCAGCTTCTCCCAGTAACAACACCAGAGCTCTCTGACCAGGAGATTGCAGTGCTAGGAACAACTAAGATTACTGCACAGAAGATTGAGGAAGACGCATGCCATCCATTGGGATGAGAAGGGAATTTTATTATTTTTTTAATAAGATAGGGTTCAGCTCAATCACCTGGCAGTTCTTGGAGTGATGCCCAATCTTTTTTCCCTAAGACCTTTTGATTGATTTATTCTCTAGCACTAGTCAGCATCTGTGCTGTTTCTAACACTTACAAAAAAATCTACCCATCAATCCCTGCCTCTGCACTTATAATCAGAACGATTTATACATACCTGTAAAGAAGATTAAATCTGAAACACTGGAAAATGCATTGTAAAATAATTATACCTGCTACGTTTTACAAATGTAATACTCATTTGACACCCACAGTTAGTAGCCCAGTTTACTATTTGACTCAAGAGACCAGTTTTGAACTGGTCAATCAACAGGATTGGGCTTGCTGCCCTCCCTCTGTGCTTCTTATTTTTCCAGTCAAATAGGCATTCAGCCAGAAGATGCAAAGAGCAGTTATATATGCATCTAATCAATCATTAATCAATCAATCAATCATTTTTTTTTAATTATGTCCTGCCTTTCTTATAAGGGCTCAAAGCAACATACATCTTTCTACTTCTATTTTTCCCCATAACAACAACCCTAGGAGAGGTAGGCTGGGGGGGGAGGGAGGGAAGGAGAGAGAGAGAGAGAGAGAGAGAGAAGGAGAGAGAGAGAGAGAGCTGTATGACCATTCTGTGTGGCCCATCCTATATTCAATTTCAAGCCTTCATATATTCAGGCAGATGCATGAATGAATAACAGAGTAACAAGAGCTGGAAGGGACCTTGGAGGTCTTATAGCTCAACCCCCTGCTCAAGCAGGAAACACACCATTTCAGACAAGTGACTGTCAAATGTCAAATCAACTTTCGCAAAATAAAATATAGTTTATTCCGTTTTTAATTCTTTCATATATAATATATAATGTTTTGTGCTTAATTTTTATTCTTATTAAAATCTTGGTAGGAAATGTTTTAAGATTCTCAACGAAGCATGACTTCTTTCCACTCCAGAATATATCTGAAAGAAAAAGGCCAAAACAGAAGGTTTTTATTCTTTTTCCTTTCAGTTGTTGCTTCTCTGCTCAGGTTTCAGCTTGAATCCCTTCAAAGGCGTTCCAGTCTACAGTCTGAGAATAATCTAGGGACTAATTCAAAATTATACCATATACACATAGTAGTACGCAAAAGTTCTGAAACTAAGCAGAATATCAGCGATATCAAATACCCTACCTGTTATTAAAATTTCCCTCAATCAGCCTCTACT